TGACGACGAGCAGTACGAAGGACGGGCCGCCGGCTTCTGTGACATCTCCGAGCCACTGCCCGTCGAGCTGCCGCCCCGGCTGCGGCACGCCGTGGCCAAGAGGCGCCGGGTCGAGTTGGAGATCGGCGTCCCGCCCGAGCCGTTGGCGGACGCTCTGCTGGATGCTGGCCGCTGGGTGGAGCGCCGCCGTGGCGCGTGGCGCCGGCCAGGGCGTATCCACGCCCTCGAGGCGCGCGCCGCCGTCGCACCGCTATGGAGAGCGGCAGCCGATGTCAACTTCCACGGGAAGGAGATCCTCAGCCTGTGCGACAACATGTCGTCGGTCCTCGCCTTCGAGAAGGGCAGGGCCACCAATTTTGAGCTCCTGGCACAGTGTCGCCGGGCTGCGGCCGTCTGCTTCGGGTGCGAGATCCGCTGGCGCCCGAGGCACGTGCCTGGCATCTACAACGTCGCGGACCACGGGAGCCGGGCGGCTGACCGGGGTGAGCTCCTCCCCGGACGCTACCGCGGGCGTGGCGCCCTGTCGGCGCCCACCAGCGGCAGCCGCCGAATGCCCGTGGTCCCGCCAGCCGCGGGCAAGGCCGAGGCCTCGCCGACCACGGCTGTCGAGTTTGAGATCGGACGAGAGCAGGCCGAGCTGCTGGGGCCTGAAAACACCGAAAGAGACCGTTGCATTCCTTTACCTTTGTCACCTCAGCCCGTCTCTGACACGGATTCCCTTTCTTCCCAGAGTAGAAGGCATCAAGATGAAGTCTCGAAAGTACTCCCCAACGAGCGACCCCGACACGATCGACATGAGCATGCTCGAAACCTACCTGATGCACTCGAGCCTCCTGGAGTTCCTCTACGGGGCCCACATGTACACCTTGGGGCGCGCGAAGATCCTCAACAGGACCCTCCTGAGCGCCCTCGGCCTCTTGCGGTTCTACAACGGGGCCCACCTGTACGTCTTGGGCCACACGAAGAGCCTCAACGGGCACTGGCTAAGCGCCCTCGGCCTCCCGAAGTTCTCCGACGGGGTCCCCCTCGTAAAGCCTTCCTCGAGATCTTCGCGGGTACTGCAAATCTCAGTGGTGCGATGCATGAGCGAGGTTTCCGGATCATGCCCCCAATGGACTCCAAGTATGGGCCCCACTGTGACCTCACAAGCCGACGTGTCCAGCATCTCGTTGAACATTGGCTCAAATCGGGAGAAGTCTGGTGGGTTCACCTTGGCCTGCCCTGCACGAGGTGGGTGCCAGTCGGGGGCGCGCGCGATCCAGCGCCGGCGGACCGCACGCTTGTGGCGTTCACAGTCCGTGTCGTGCGACTCTGCCGGTCCCTGGGGATCTTCGTCACTTTCGAGAACCCGCCTGCGAGCCGTGTCTGGAGGTGGCCCGCGTTGGAGCGAGAGCTGCAGCGCCTTGCCTGGCCGAAGGTGCTGTTCGACTCGTGCAGGTTCGGCGCGCCCTTCAAGAAGCCAGGTGCGATCGCCGGGAGCCTTCCCGGGCTGGGCCATCTTGCACTGCGCTGCTGTTGCGCTTGCCGCCATAGGGTTGAGCTGCAAGGCAAGGTCCGGCATCCGACGCGGGGCTGGACGTGGCGGACGACTCTGGCCGGGGCTTACCTACCCAGCTGGTGCCGCCTGCTGGTCTCGTTGGCCGGCCCAGACGCCCCTCAGAGTGCTTTCGGGCGCTCGACCCAGGATGACCTCCAGGCTCGGGCTCACGCGCTGGCAAGCGCGGCCGGGGTCGCCGAGCTCCGCGGAGTCACGGCGCCGATCTGCCCGCAGCGCTTTCGGCTCCCCTGGAGGCCAGGGTGGGCCACCGCGCTCGACCCGCGGCCGCGCAGCCGCTGACGCGGCCGCTGCACCAATGCCGGCGCAGCCGCGGTCGCGCTGGCAGCCGCGGGCAACGGCTGGCGTCGACGTCCGCGAGGCAGACGTCGATGCAGGCGCCGACAGCCGTGCTGACGCCCAGGCGGGCAGGCCGGAGCCAACGTGACCCTGTCCCTCGTCCAGTGGCCGTGGCCGCCCGGCGCCGCCGGGCGCAGGCTGCCGCGCGTGGAGACGTCGCTGCTGGTCAGCGGCAGGCCGCCCCCGGAGAGTACCTCCGCCTGGCCTCGCTGCGGCCAGCCACGGTCGACAGCTACACGTCCGCCGTGATCGAGCTGACCGACTACGCCAACCGCCGGGGCCTGCTGCTGACCACGCCGGAGCTGGCCGACGAGACGCTCAACTTGTACTTCGAAGACTTGTTCTTTGCAGGTGAGCCCCAGTACCTGGCTCGTAACGCGTTGCATGGGCTCTGCAAAGTTCGAGGATGGTCTGCTAGCCGACCTCGCTTCCATAAGGCCAAAGATGCTCTAACTGGTTGGTCGGCAAAACTGCCGACTACGCCGCGAGAGCCGCCGCCGTTCGAAGCCGTCCAGCTGACCTGTGCCGTGCTCGACAACGGGACCACGTCCGACCTACTGGCGTGCCTGGCCTCCGTGACTGGGTTTGACATGTACTTCCGGCCAG